TGTTGCTGGGAAAGTATGTGCTTTATTTCAGTCTCCCCTCTCCCGCAGCCGAGGGGCTCTGTGTGCCCCTCCACCCCTAAGCTGCACCTCCAGGACTGCCGCCGCCCCGGGCACGCCCTGTGCCCACCTTCAGCATGAGCCTTCCCTGCACACAGTGCCAGCCACAGCTCATCAGACCTTGCACGTCTTAATTTGCTTCAATAAGTCCCGGGCCATGGTGGCACATCCGTGTGATCGCAGAAGCCAGGCAGAGAGACTTTGAATTGGAGGCTAGCTTGGACTACAGAGCTAGACTCTATCTCAAAAAACAAAAGCAAATGAACAAAACAGAACCAACAGCAGCAACCGTAATAGTCTACAGAGTGTCTGTCATCTTGCCGGAGAATTCCAAAACACAGTCACAGCAAGCTGGTCCTCAAGGAGGTCAGCATAGACCCTGTTTCCAAAGAGAAAGGAGAACAAGTTTTGACACCTGGACCAGGCAGCCTGTTCTGCAAACAAGGAAACAGTCTGGTCACCAGGGGCTTAGACTTTTAGCCAGGGCCAGATGGAAGGCAGAGGTTTCCAGGCTAATTACGGGAAGGACAAACCCTGTGAAGAACAGTGTTGTACTGTGATGGAGCCTGGCCAGGCAGTGCCTCTGGGTGGGATTTTACTAAACAGCCTAGATTTGGGAGTGTAGAGGGTCTTGGGGGAAAGGGGGTAGCAGCTGAAATCGGGACCTCCCGAAAGGCTAAGCCAGAGCTAAGGAAGGAAGATGAGGCAGATCTCTGTGGCCACCCACCTGGGAAGGCACTGCCACAACCCTCATGTTGGTGTGGGTTGGCACCGAGCGCCTCCCAGGACTGCCGTCAGAGTCCAGTGCAAGAAGCGAAAGGAGGTGTCAGCGTCCTCAAGTGTGGGTGAGAGGTCCACATGCTGGTGAGCAAGGTCACATCGGTACCCCCATCACAGGGTCCCGAGCAGGCTGTGAGTGAGACACAGAACCTTGCCACTCCACTGCTACACTTAATCAGGCCAGCGAATCTTAATTTTCCATGGTATGCGATCGCAGAAGCTAATGAGCCTGGCCCTGGTGGGGGAGTGTTACTGGGAGGGTGATTCATGCCTCCAGTGCAGCCTCTGGGCCAGGATCCTGCTGTCTCCCAGGCTCCCCGGGAGTCAAGATATTCATACCTTTGAGAGCCATGGAAAGCATCTAAGGAGAGCAAGGAGAACAAGTCCAGGCTGATGTCCTGCCCTGACCACCACAGAGGCTGAGCTCTGTCCATCGTCTGCACCACCGCTGCTGCCCTCCTGCCAGGCCTGCTCAGGAGGCCACGCCTGGCTCTCCTCCCTCCTCTGCCTTTCCAGCTCCCCTTCAGGGAGTGCAGGGAGAAGCTGCCATCTGCTGCTCCAGACATGCCGGATGGAGCAGTGTTTGTTTACCAGAGGGGTCAAGGGAAGCAGACCAACAAACCTTCTCAGGGTCCTCCACAGGAGGTACCCTGGGGGAAGACACTCCATGGCCTCCCAAGGCCTGGGACCCACGATGCCTTACAAACGTGAGAAGAGAAAGCGTTATCAAGTCCTAAGGTGTGGCTTATTTGCACAGTGTTTCCAACATTAGAACGATGATACAGGCAAGAGCTTCCTGTAAATGTTGGTTCTGAACTTTCACTGTGAGAGGAAGCACCTAAAAAGACTGTCCAAATTCAACATGAAAGGGACTCAGCCAGCCAGCCAGCCCCGGGGGGAAAAGACTGTGTCCAAGGCAGTGTCTACTGCCCTGGCTTTCCGAAAGACTCGGAAAGGTTTCCTAAGCTACATTAAAAAAAAGGGAGGGAGACAGGGGGAGAGAGGAAGAGGCAGAGAGAAAGAGAGAGAAGAAAGAAAGTCACCACCAAGAATATGGTTGTTTCATTGCACAGGAGCTAGTCAGTGAGCTTGCCTTTAAAATGGCTGCTTGCCGGCATCTGTATTTTAACAGAAAAGTAGTAAGAAAAGGCCCGGAGTATCAGCCCCCAGGGAAAGAGTGAGATCACTGAAGACAAACCCCCAGAGGAAGTTGCAGAGACTCCTGGCTGCATGCCCTGCTCATTTGCAGGACAAATGCTTGTGGGCAATGAGGAGATGCTCAGGCACTATGCTCTGTCCTGCCCCTGTGGGAGAGAGGGACATTTCCAGGGTCAAATGGCCTTCTTGAGTTCTTAGCAAAAAGCTTTGAAGCAAAGACAGTAGAGCAATTATGGGGCGCTGATCTGGTCCCTGCAATCCTGAAGCCACTATCCTTCCAGTCCTCGGGATGAGTGAATCATCTGAATCATCGTGAGGCCTTGATGGCTTCCAGCTGTGGGGCGGCCTGGGCTCAAACTGTTCTTAAAGATCCCAAGGCAGGACTGTGGAGTCCGCTCCAGCCAGGGCACACTGATAGCCATCCGCCTTTCTACAGCCAGTGTAAGAAGACATCTGTTGTCCATGGGCTGAGGAGACACTCTAACCCAAATAGGAAAAGACAAATAAAATATGTGTGGAAGACATGTTAAAAGTACTAAACTCTAACTGGAAAATAAATTACTGTAGCATTTCATTGGCAAATGTTTAATGAGCACCTACTGTCTTCCCAGTTACATGGGTGGGAACATGGAGACCAGAAAGCAGGTCCTGATCCCAAGCCAGCAGCTAGGAGGCAAAAGCATCTGAATGCCACAAACCCTACCATTACACACAAAACAGCTGTAGGTATCCTAGGCACATCATTTTTTTTTTTTTTTTTTTTTTTTTTTTATTTCATGAAGTAGTATTTACTGTTACCTCACTTCCAGGAGGAGAAAGCAGGGATTAAGAAGGTAAAAACATTGCCCAAGGGAGACAGAAACAAGGATCAGCAGGAGAGAGTAGAACTTTTACCCCAGAAGTGTGAAGTGTGGTTCCACCTTGACAGCAACAAACAGGTCTGGGGAAAAAAAAAAAAAAAAGCCACTGCCTGAGGCCAGGAAGGGCACACAGGAGTTTCAGGAGGAATGGCAAAGGTTCCTTCCAGACACAGAAGTTAGAAATGGAAGAACAGCTATTAAAAATTATGAAGGTGCACACACCTGTACCCCCAGCCCTCGAGGAGGCAGAGGCAGGGACATCTGAGGCCAGCCTGGTCTACAAAGCAAGCCCAGGACAACCAAGGCTGCACAGAGAAACCCTGTCCTGAAAACAAACAAACAAAAATTGTGTGTGCATGTACACCCCTGAATATGGGGGCAGAGGGCCTCAGGGCTGTTCCTCAGCTGTCACCTACCTTTATCTTGAGACGGGGCCTTTTACTGGCCAGGAACTGACCTAGCAGGCTAGGGTGGATGGCCAGTGAACCAAAGTGGCCCATCTCCAAGTCCTCGGCCCTGAGATTCCACGGGTGCCGTGAAAGAATGTTTTTTAAACCATGGGTTCTGGGAATCTGAGTCAGGTCTTGTGCTTGAGTTTTAAAAACTCAGCTACTTTTTTCGACCCCAAAATAATTTCAAAAGATGAAAATACATGTACTACCACAGTGCCCACACAGTTGCTACCCGACGGTAGCTGGGTCAGGAGTGAGCCCGCAGCCTGCAGGGGAGCACCATTCAACAGGGCACAGCGCTGGAGCTGGCTCCTGACAAGGCCCAAGAGGAAAGAGAAACTGAATACTTCACCAAACCAGTCTGGCAAGCACAGAGAACACTGGGGAGAGAGAAGCCCCCCCCCACCCCGAGAAGGCAGACTCAGCGGGTGGCAGGTGCTTTCCCACAATTCCAGAAATTAGCAGCGTCTTTGTTCACTGGAATATGAAGTCCTAGCCAAGTCCTTGAAAGATGAATTCCTCAGCAAGGAAATTACAAAGGTACAAAAGGCCGTTTGCAATGTGTGATAAACTGGTAGTTTAAAACAGCCATTCTGAGGTTTATCTTTCCCCAAGACACTTAATTTATACTCCCTGAACAGCGTTCCGTAAAATAAATATAATCTACTGAATCATATCCCATAAATGATTAAATGACGGGTTAACACCGACGATTAGGTTTCTGGCCCTGTAGCCAACAGAAATAACACACGACTGCAGGCACTCTAAAAGCAGGTGTGTGCCACAGGGCTGTCTCTGAGCCGGTTGCTGGGAGTTCAGCACTGACTTTCCTCCTCTAGTCAGTGATGGGCGCAGAAGGGGAACACAGACATGGGGTGTGCCGAGGCCTCCCTGGCTGAAGTCGGGGGTCGAGAACGTCAGTCTCTGGTCCAGGGCCTCACCCGCTGTGGCCCACAGCTGCTGTGGCGCCTCTCTCTAGCAACAGATGCTTGAGCAAGAAGCTGGAAGAGGCTGAGACAGAGCTCTCAACAAGTGGCGGAGAGGCTAGGGGCCTCTGACAAAAAGGAGGCGAGGCCAGTGACTCCGCCCACCCCACGATTCCTTTCCTGATTGCCATGGGTGGTGTGTGTGTGTGTGTGTGTGTGTGTGTGTGTGTGTGTATGTTCACAGCTGCCATGGGAAAAGCCTGGCTCAAGGCCTTCCCAACGCTCCATACAGGAAGGCCACGAGCTCAGCTGCTCCAGTTTCCTGCGTGGAAACACAGGTACTGGGTGCTGACGGCTTTCTCAGGGTGATGTTCCGTGGGTCCAGGGCACGCTCATACCCGTGAGAAAAGAACCACCTGTGATAGCAACAAATTAGACCACGACCCACTTAGATGGCTGATCTTCCTTTCAATGAAAACATTCACACATAGATTATGTGTCTTTAGATGTAATTATACCACTTATATATCTACCAGTCATACTACATCAAACGTGATTTAGACACACAATGACATCTAGCAAGTAAACCCGCAGTGAGGCCTGTCACTTCACGCCTGGGCGGCTTGTGCACAGACAGATCTGAAAGCCAGATCCCTCAGGGACAGGGTGGGTGAGCAAGGCCTGCTGGGAGTGACCTGAGGGGCCCAGTGACCTTCCCTTTTCCAGTGGCCCACACCTATGGACACCTCCACCAACCCCTGGCTTACCGGAACTTCAAAGGCTTCCTGGGTGTCATCCAGCATCTGGATTTTCACGGTCATAAGTTTTCCTGAAGGAGTGGGCGGCTTCTGCCCTCGTTCCAAGGTGCTGACACCTGAATTCTCTGGGGCCCCCAGACGTGACGCTGGGGTGGGCTTCTGCTCTATCTCTCCCATGATGGAAGCAGCTTACTCAGTATCTGCAGGAAACCAGAGAAGAGGAAACTGTATCAGAAGAAGGTAACTCAAGAGTGTTTCCTCCTGCTTCGAGAACCTCCCCAAACCACTGAAATGTCAAATTCAGGCATTCAGGTCTCCCTGCATATTGTCCGTTTGCACGTTTGCACGCTGTGTGTTGTATTCTTTCCCAGTTCAATAGTCAGCTCTTAACTACTCATGCTACAGACTCGGCTCTGCTGTGCTCTATCATTTCCTACCTCCACTGACGACAACTCTGCCGTTCACACCTTTAAAGTCGGGTGGGAAGATGCGAACAGGGCCTGGGCTCTGTCATTAAAACCCCTAATTATCCCGGAGGAACCTGGCCGCACAGTAAACAGTGTGGCCATTCTAAGTTTGACAGGGTGACACAGAGGCTCCCTGGCTGAGAGGCGGAGGAAAGAAACAGAGAGAAGCCCGGCCTTGCTCTCGGGTCCTGAACCCTGATGAGGACCTCACCACTCACTTCTTTATTACCCTCCAGCTAGCCCGTCCCCAAAGCCGCTGGACATCAATCTGACAAAGGTGCTTTCCTAAGAACAAGCAACCCTCTTTCCCTGCTGCTGTCTCCTCCTACACAGTCTCAGACTCTGCCTGAACCCTCTTCCTTCAGCCAAAAGTTCTGCAACTGCTTTGAACTGCGTCATTTCCTGGCCAGTGGGTGCAGAGTGTGGGTGCTGTTGTCCACTCATGCTCAAGATGGCTGCTGCATGAGTGGCAGTCAGCAGGACGACACACAATGGCTGCACACGGTTTCTCTGGAGTGAGCTGTCAATTCAAGATCTAACAGTTAGGGGTAGGGAGGACCTCCCTCCGGGGAGCGGGGAACTGACCTCAGTCTGACCACAAACCTTGGATAACACACACACAAAACCCAGGACGTACAGATGGGAACGACATTCCAGGGAAGTGAACGGTGCCTTGTGGGAAGGTGGTGTGGGCCTAGAAAGATGGCTGCTGGTAAAGCCCTTGCCAGGCTGATCCCCAGCACTGAGGAAGCAAAGAGAGGATGATCCCTGGAGCTCTGGATAACCATCAGGGATCAGGGATCTCCAGGTTGAGAACCTGTCTCCAAAATAAGGTGGGAGCAACTGAGGAAGGCACTCCACACGGACCTTTGGCCTCCACACACACAGGCACATACAGAGGAAGGGCTGCTGGAGAAGGAAAGGTGGAAGAGGAAGCCAGGGGGAGGAGGTGGCAGGCTGGAAGGAGAATGCACGTCAAAACTGAACCGCTAAAGATGAATTTTGACAACGGGCTAGAACCTGGCTGTGGAGACCCTCCATGCCGGGAGGAGAACAGTCTTTACCCTGGAGGCCGTGCAGAGCCACAAGGATAAGATCAGTGATACCACAGAAACATGACTTTAGAAAAATGGGCTGGAAGGTGACACGTGACATGGGAAATAAGAGAGTGGGTCCAGGTGGCTGTGATGGCTTGCACAGAGGAGACGGAGACAAATGTCACAGGATGAGCCTACCTCTTCAGACAAAGTAACCCAGTGCTGCTCGTGGCCAGCGGGATGATGCGAGGACAAAAACATGCATCAGAAGAGGAAGCAGTGGAGGTGACCCTGTCCTAGGCTTTCCTGGACATAAGGATGGACAGACACAGGCTCGGGGCATGGACCACCTTACGGACAAGTAAAAGTCATGGGTATAAAGAAGGTGATTACTGAACCCCTGAGGTAAAAGACTAACCCTGTCCCGTCACAAGGGTCAGCGGAGGACAAGAAGTCAGAAGAATGGAGGGAGAACAGAGGCACTCAGTAACCGAGTTGGCCGAGGAGGGGGCCCACAGAATCCCTGGGTGACAGTATGGAGCCAGCGTGAGCGCCGATCGCTGGGAACAGCCTTGGAAGCCTCATTCCAGCCCTCAGCCCTACCCTGCCTACAAACGCAGCCTTGGTTCTTCTCTCTGGAGATGACCATCTTCTTTCCCAAGATGCACGAGTGCTCTCCCGGCCCCATGGTGTCTAAGCCTCCAGGAGTCAGCGGCAGACAGGCCTGGTACCTGACCTCCTTTCTCTACAGCCCTCAGTGAGCCTGTTCCTCACTGCTTCTGAGCACTGCTGTTTCCCAAGCGGAGTCAGTCACACTGTTTCTGTGCTTGCACTCAGACCGTTGAACAGAGAGAGCGCTGCTCAATTCACACAGAAACCCAGCCACAAGCTTCACATCCTCAGCAAGCCCAGGGAACGCCGTGCGATGCTGGCAGGGCATGAACCAGGAACCACAACTGACACCTGACATGCCACCTGACCAAGGAGCCACGGTCCAGCAGAGCTGCCTCCCGGTAAACTTTTAACTCACCAAAGCCTCGCACGCATCAGCTTTAACTGGGCTCTGGGCTCTTCTGTGCCCTCAACCCCCGGACGCCCTGAGAACAGGAAGAACAAGTCACCAGTCCCTGGGCAGTCCACACCTAAGTAAGGAGCTTACAAAGCAACTCTATTCTTCACATTTCTCGAAACGTTACTTCAACTGAATAGAGGAACACAATTTTTATCTGGCAGAGAAACAATGACAGAGTAGAGCTGTCACAATATCCCTGCCTAAAGAGTTCCTCTTGGAATTTACCCAAAGAGCAATAAAGAGCTCAGCACAAAAAAGCACACTCCTTTCCTGAGACAGCAGACGTGGGATCCCAGGGTGACCAGACGTGAGTGAAGGTCAGACAGAGGAGACGCGAAATGCCTGGCTCTGTCCCACTGCGGGTCTCTGGCTGATAGAAAGCCTGTTTCTCCAAAGCACACAGAACACCCCTGGCCAAACCAGCAGGTGTCCTCAGAACAGGGGCTGATGTGCAGAACAGCTTCCCTGGGCACGGACAGGATAGAGTCAGGAGCCACAAGGAAGCCATGTGGAAGGAAAGCCTGAGGCTGAGGCACGGGAGGGAAGGATGAACTGGCCAGGCTCCACCTAAGTCTCCATCAGGCACGCCCAGGAGGTGTCTAAGAACCCAGAGCAGCAGGGGCAGTGGCCTGTCAGTCACCTGGCGAGACTCCTACAAGCAGCCGCTGATGAAAAACAAGCAACCACCTAAGAGCCACGGATGCTGAGGATGCTGATGCGGCTGTGAGGAGAAGCAAGCGGCAGGCAGGGCAGGGCATACTTGCAATTCCAGCTTTGGGGAGGTTGACCCACAAGTGCTATTAGGTTTGAAACAGCCTAGGCTACATAGCAAGGCACAATGTCTCAAAATGACAAAAGCAAAACACGAAAGCAGTCCTTACAAATGTCAGGATATCACCAATCATAGAAATGGCACTCAAAAGAGATTAAAATTCTGCCCAAAGTGGGCATGGTGGCACACAACTGTAATCCCAGCACCCGGGGAGTGGGGGTGGGGCAGAGGCAGAGCCAGGGTGTGGTCTGCAGCTCAAGGCAGCTCCACCAGCTCAACTGCCCAAACATAAAGCCACCAAGTCACAAAACTTGATAAAATTAATGAGCCCCTAAGCAAAAGTGTATGAAGGTTCTACAAGAAACCAAAGACATCAGCAGGAAACAAGGACAGAGGCACCCAGGGTAATAAAAAGAGAAATAAAATTCCTAATCCCAAATCAGAAACATTCCCCAAACCAAGCTCTTTTGCAGGCAGTGTCTCCCGAGCTAACTGGTGACCCTGGAACTTGCTTTGTAAAGCAGCCAGCCGGCCTACACAGAGGTCTGCCTCCTCTGACTCCCAGTGCTGGCATTAAAAGCTCACCCCAACATGCCTGTCCTAAATCCAAAACTTTAGCACCAGTATAATGTCCCAGCTGGAAAATGCCACATCTGACCCCGTGTATTTGAGTGGAAACACTCAAAATTTACCTTTGGGCTATCTGCATAAGATAGACTAACAATCAGTCTTGGTTTTAGACTGTAATATCCCATCCCAAATATTCCAATATCTAAGAGAATCCAAAATCTATCCATTTGAGGTCTCAGAATTTGGGATAAAATGTCTCCAGTGAATATCATGAAAATATAGGACAAATGGAAAGTGGCTAAATGGAAATGGAGCTAATTACTGGTAAAATTATGGGCACCTAAAGGAAAGTGAAGTATACTCAGAAGTATAAGGGTTGAAAACAGGAAAAAAAATAGCTACGGAAGACAGAGACATAATCTGTGTTCCCCTGAAGACTCAGAAAAAGAGAACAAGGTTTAAAAACAGAAGAAAGAAAAGGTTGTTTAGGGTATGATTTAGGAAAACATTCCAGAAACGAAAGAGAAGTTTCCATACTAAAAAAGCACAATGGGGGTGGGGAGACTGCCACCAAGCCCAGTGGCGCAATTTCCGTCTCCGGGAGCCACAGGACGATGAAAAAACTGGCGTCACACGGCACGCCACAGCCTGTGGACACCGACGCTCAGACAGACAGAAAATTAAACACCCGTAAAAAAGCGTATCACATCTACTACTAAGGAAACCATCACCAAAACACCTTGTGAGTCTTCCAAAATGAAAAAAGACTAAGTGCCAAAATGTCCCCAACATTTGAAGAATCAAAACTTTAAGCCAGGGCAAAGATTCACCCCAATACACAAACCAAATGCGTGAAATTGGTGAGAATTTTGAGGAATATGACCCACACTTTTAAATGAAAACTACTAGAAAATAAAACTTCAGGAAAACTAGTAGCCACACAATGAAAAATAGTTAATCCAAAAGTCCTGTGTACTCTAAGAGAAAGGCTGAAACAACAGCAATGGCTGAACTAGAGCTGAGAACATAAAAATAAAACTAATACTAACTCCTGAAAACACAAAAATAAAACAAAAAACTTGGCGGAGAAAGTTGAAACCCAAAATGCTGAAACTTCGTGTTTCAGAACTGCAACAGGATCTGTCTCCAGAGAGGCACAGAGAGCTGGTAAGGCTGACCGTAATTTAGCATCCAGACCATCAAACCTTCCCTGCCAAGTCACAAATTCCACTCTCAGGCATCTCCCCAAGCCAAATGAAAAGGGGGGAATGGATGGATGGAT